TTCGATCGGATCATTGGGGTTTATTAGTAATAAATCGGCATTTTGCGACCCCCACTGCCACTGTGTAGCATATTATTACGTGCCAGGAACTCTATGAGATGATAGGACAATAGTCTGAGTCCATAATTGGCAATAAGTAACGGCAAAGTAGTTAGAAGTGACTCAGAATTGTGCGCAGTTGCGTATACAGAGTCCACGACTTCCCTGAAGGCATCGACACCTTCAGCAAGCACGATGCCGATCACACAACGCGGTTCGAATTCGACCCTCGATCGATGGCTGCGCCATCGCCGCACATGCGTCGAATAAAAATCAAGGGACAAGTCCTTACTTACTAACAACTCCTATCATTTTTCATTGCTTACTTACTAACAACTCCTATCATTTTTCATTGCTTACTTACTAACAACTCCTATCATTTTTCATTGCTGGAGGGGTTGCCCCCCCCCTACCTGAAAATCCTGGCTCCGCCATTGATCATCATGGTGACATGCGGTGCATAAGCAGTGCGAAATATTCGAACTCAGCAAATTAAAATCCGAAAATACAAAATTCTAAATCAATCGGAAATTTGACCTTAAAGAGTCTGAAAATGCGATATTCCAGATAATTAAATCTGACACTCACCACGGACGCAGAGTGCCCAGCGTGCATCCCCTTAGAGGCATAGCCATCGCAAACTCTCACTCACTGTCTCCTCCCCCCCCCAAGCATGGCCGTCGTTTGTGTAAAGACGTACGGCGCACGTTGCTCCCAACGCGCTGTAGTTCTGGGGATTTACCGAAGCCGCGGTGCGATGCTGAATGTGTACGGCACGAGCTTGTAGGCGCGCTTACCACTTCAGGAAGCAACGTCGTAATTCAGGATTTTCCCATTTCGTTTTCCTCAATAATTCAAACGCCAATGCAACGTCTGATTTAACTGCATACCAAACCCAATGTCTCTCGCTGGCAAAAAGAAAGCTGCAGATCCTCCTTAATCATTATTCAATTGATCTCATGCAGTGCTGAGCGTTGCCTTTTTATTATTCGTACAGCCCGTTAACATTTATTAACGTTAGATCATCTACAGAGACGAAAAGTGGCTTGTGCTGGGGGAGGCCAGATAGTCGTCTTGTGACGATGCATCGATTTACAGCTGAATATCGATGCTTCAGCTTACGACATACGCACTGAATCGTGGATGTTAGAATCGGCAAAAAAAACTTACTAACAATAGCAGCAAAACAGGTGTTGTCTCTGGTGTGGACCAATCAGTTTCAATGACAATGCACATATATTATCAGAGTATGTTTTTTTTGTTTCCATTCTGACCACAAGCATTGTGGTTAATGTAGACATGATTCCTTGTAAAAGGTTTCAGTTTGGTGTTTTAACATCTTAACACCTGGTATTGTTGCCAGAAAAAAATGGAAAAACCTATTATCATATTTTGGTACTGGCAAAGGAGGTCCCATGATGAAATAGCAGCAAGGTAGCAGAGTCGCGACTCGGAATCATGACAGGCCATCGAATCGCTGTGGATGTGAATCACTCCATGGTGGGAGTTGACATCAATTGCCAGGACCAAACGACTTGAAAATTAAAAAAAGTCACGTTCGTGAATAAACTTGCGGGATAAATGACGCATCGTGAGAGTCTCCCAACAAAGTTCGCAGCAACAACAACAAAATGACGAGGAATAATTAGCGCAGTTCAGGATTGTTAATAAATTATTATGGCTTAAATGTAATGGTACTGTCAGTGTAAGTTATCTACAATTCACACAAATTACCCAGAAACGCTGCCAAGTTATGCAGCTAGCGAGCCCCCTATTTATGGCGTTTTAGGATAATGTTTTCCCTTCAAGTTAGAGCGATTTCCTTCTCAAATGACTACTGAGGCAGAGCTCAATGTCGCCTTTACAGCTCTGAGCCAGTGCTCGACATTCCACATTCCTATGACGGGGAGGGTACTGATTATGCATCGTGTGTAACAACAATATGACATAAAATCCGTGATCTGGTTCCGTCTGTAAAAGATGTGGTTCCAGACATACAGTACCCGGGCATCTACAAACTAAATTGCCTCTGTGGTAGCAGCTACATTGGAGAAACCAAACGACATATCTCGGACCACATTCGTGAACACAAAGCAGACCTGAAACACGGTAGGACGAACACCTCAGCCGTGGCAGATCACTGTTATAATTCAGTAGGCTCACATGACATTGACTTCTCCATGACGGAGGTTCTCTGCAAGCCATCCGGCTACCATGAGAGATTCGTTCATGAGGCCATCCACATATACAAACACAGAGACAATTTCAACCGAGAACATGGATTCTGGCTTAGTAACCATTGGAAAGACGTTATAAACCATTTCGGTTCTTGATTGATTGTATTTTATGGTGACTTTCAGACCGCAGTCCATTCGCTGGCACTGCCTCTTAATACCTTTCACACGACGGTCAATGGTATTGTTTATAGCATGTTGTATAATAATAAATAGTATAACAGTGTAATGTTTAACATAATTCATAAGGCAATATATAGTATCGTAATTGTATAGTGAATATACAGCAGTGTGGTATACAGTAGGGTTGGTAGATTAATACATAGCGTAATATTACAAGTCTAATATTGTATAGTCTAAAGTATAGGGTAGTGTATAGTAACGCATTGTATAATTCAAGGGTGGGGTTTGTCTATGGCAGCGTGTATTATGGTGTATAGTCGTGTAATGTAGAAAAAAGTTGAGTTGGAGACATATCAATATAATGCATAATGTTAGAGCTTACATTGGGCTGTGTATACGATATTATGCAATGTAGTTTAGATTGGAAGGTATAACATTGTAATGTATAGTAGTCTAATTTATAGCATAGTTGTAACGCAACACAGGACAGAGCAGCGCATCGTGGTTGTTTCTCCCCCCTCCTCCGTTCCGAGCACAGATGGACTCGTCCGTCTGAACAAAGCTCGTCGCTATCCGTGGTGCTAACGTTGAAAAGCAAAAAAGAAACCGCCATTTTTTTCGACATAGAATTGTAATGTAAAACGACTTATTGTTAGTAGCTCAGCTGATTGGAGAGTATATTGAGTTTATTGATAACATTGATGTAGTTTATATTTTAGTTTTTTATCAGTTTACTATATGGTATTCACTATATAGTGTAGTGTATACCCAGTTACTTTATGTTAATACATGCTAATTTCTGACTTTAACACCCTGCGAATCCAACACATTAACACAGCTACTTCAATGCTAAATTATTACTGTTGATATGTAAACTCCTTTGTCAAGGCGCTCTGCTCCTCCCACACAGCTTAAAAGACGCTGCCAAGCTTAGCAGTGTTCATTGAAGCGCTGTCGTCCCGACAGTTCTGTTCCTTCACCTGAAGAAGGCTACTTGTGTTGTGGCCGAAACGTCGTGAGAATTTTATTCTATTATGTTTTATTTTTATTATTTTATTTCCATTCTACGTGACTTTACCGAAAGAACCAAGAAGAAGAACAATATGACATTTTCCATTAAGCCTCGCCGAGTGCCAAAACTCTTTCAGGAGGGTACTGAGTTGGGATATTTCCTATTAAATAATTTACGAGCGTTCGGCATACGGGAGGAAACCGGAGATTCCAGAGAAAATCCAGCGTATGAGGGTGCGTCCATCTCATCACGGCCATCTATCTCCTGGGCACCTCGCGACCCAAACCTACAACACCTGGCAAGCCTCAGTCGAGCAGGGATAGTGATAGGGGTTGGGGTAGTTATAGGGATTTGTGTTGGGGTAGGCCTGGTTGTAGCTGGGGGGGTGAGAGCAGGGAGTAGCAGCAGGATGGGTGAGGGAGAAGAGATGGGTTTTGAGGGAGGAATGGAAGCAGGTTACTAATAGAGGCAAGATGATTGTTGTTGCACTGTGCGGATCGGTGGTTTCAGTCAAAAGGCAGCCCGGAAAAGTTTAGCTCCTTGGGAGTTTATTTTACTTTACAAAGCCCACGACTCAACGAGACCAAACTTCTCCTCTAAGAGGCGGAGACGAAAAACTTCCCTTACCCAATTTGTTTCATGCTGACAGCTGGGAAACCTCTAATTCGGATGTTATGTCTTCTTGGTATAGCACGCTGTATGCTACACAGTAACTTTTAATTCCAGCCATTCTCAATCCATCAGAGGATGAAGACTTCCCCAAGCCATAGGGGTCTTGTTTTTTTTTTGTTACCATACTTCACCACGCTGGTCAGTGTGTGTTGCTAAAGCGGAGGCAGTGGGGGAGGACCGGTTCTGTTATCATTCGTGGCTGATGTTAGTAGCCACGGCTTGGGAACGACCTCACAGAGCAGCTCAGTAGCTGTTGCGCCACTGGTTTAGATTTTTTTTTTTAATTATGAATTCCAGATGGTTCCGTTTAAATTCGAAATAAGGAATTCGAATCGAAAGCAATGAGGCTAAATATTTAAATGTGCGCACAAAAAAAGTAGAGAATTAACCGATGAACCGCTGTGGATTGCCGCGGCAAATGACGACGTTGGGCACCCGTTAGGGATGGCACGGTGCGCGAGGTGCGAGCGGGGCCCTTTGCCTCGCGAGTGCCAAAGCCGATGGCACAGCAGCACAGAATCATTTAAAGGGCCGTGTCGACCGAGCGGGACCCCCCCCACCCACCCACCCACTCAATCCCACTCTAGGGATGAGCTCAGTTACCGCATTGCCATTCACATTATCCGCGGGCCAGCAATTGACCCCTGGGTTTGACAGCACGGCCGATGAAGTGCTGGGTCATCGCGCCCCACGACCCCGCGCTGAACGCAAATACACAACTACCCCCCCCGTAGGGCCGTACAAGGCTGCTGGAGAAAGTGGCGTTAGCGAGCACCTCCGATGAGCGAGGTTGGCTATGTACGGTGTGAAAGAAGTTCAACATACATACACATATGAAGGCGTGCGCACACAAACACACGCACACACACACACACACAAAGATCCCGGATTGGTAGCGCAGCGCGCCAGCATGCGCTCACCTGCTGCATCTTCTCAAAGTTGAGGCTGGGCCTGCGGGCCGGGTCGGCCAGCGTGGCGTGGGGTCTGCGCACCACGACCACCGCACCACCGTCTCCGCCACCGGCATTGCCGCAACCGCCGCTGCCACCGCGCGCCTCCGGCTGGAGGAACGCGGCGAGCGGTGGGTCGGGGGCGGTCGCCAACGTCCGCGCCGCAGCCGCCGCCGCCGCCGCCGCGCGACAAGGGTGCTGCTGTCGCAGCGGCTGGAAGGCGGCGGGCACGCTGCGGTGCGGGTCCCAGCCAGCCCACGCCCTGGCGGCCACCAGGGAGCAGCGGCCGCCGGGTCGCCCGCCGGCCTGGGGCCACGTGTGGTAGCAGCGAGGAGCCCTCCTCTCCTGCCAGCCGCACGCCGCCGGCACCGCCGGCACCGCCCGGTCCTCCAGCAGCCCCAGCCGGTTCTGGCACTCGGCGCTTGGCTGCAGCAGCTGCGGGGGCGGCGGTGGGTTTGTTGTGATGTTAACTACCTCGCCTGGTGTACAGGAGGTCGTGGGTTCGATCCCGACCCTGACGCCTGCTGCTGTATATTTGTAGTTTGCGTGTCTCCCTCTCTCTCATCATCACGGTGGCTATGAGATGTTAACTACCTCGTCTGGTGTACAGGAGGTCGTGGGTTCGATACCGACCCGGATGCCTGCTGCTGTTGTATATTTGGAGTTTGCGTGTCTCTCCCTCTCTCTCTCTCTCCGTGATCGTGTGGATTTTTCTCCGGGTTCTCCGGTTTTTCTTTCCACATTTACAATCGTGCGTTGGGGGTATTCGGCTGCTATGAATTTCCACGTGATGAGCCGCTTCGTAAAAAACTATCAATTGTGGCCAGGCCGCTTCTGAAAAAGAGCTGTATAGCTCAAGTGGGCCTTACAATGGTAATTTTTTTTTTAAAGATTATAGTTTGCTTCCGGCACGTCTGGTTGGCGGGGAAGAGTAGGCCGAAATGCGATTGAAAGTATCCCTCGAGAGCCCCGTTCCTCACGTAGAGCGTACTCCGGTAGTGGGGCGAGCACCACCGAACAGCACGGTTGGCTACGTACGGCGCGAAAGAAGATCAGCGTACGTACAAGTGCGTGCAGGGCCGTAAGGTTTACCCTCGTGATTTATGGACCGTTTATAGTCGACACCCAGCTCGTTTGCTTCAAGGTGGGACGCAGCCCACAAAGACAACCGGCTGTTTTCTTTCATGATGTTCTTTGTTTTCATGAATTCAAAAGAAAGGTTTAAAGCTTCAAGGCATTAGCTCCGTCTGTCTAGACGGACGGAGTGGCCAAGGAAATTCCCGTAAAGATGAAGCGATCCGAGAATGAAACCTGAAGTGAAAAGCCGTGTTCTTATCGGGGACTTATAATCCCATGTGAAACGTTGGCCAACTGGTCAAATCATTGCCCCCTCCTTCTAACAGGTTGTTGGCATGATACCCACATTGAAGCACTGCATGAGTCTTGTTTAACATTTAGATTTTACAAAACGTAAATTTGCACCCCTGCAATTACTCGCTCATGCCACTGCTGGTGGAACGGCCTCCTCCAGAGGGAACTCTAGCGGGTATTTGGCCTACTCTTCCATACGCGTCACGCGTCTTGAAAGAGATAGAAGTACCCACACTTTACCCCACCGCACGCGACCGACTAACGTCTTCTTCTTGTCATGGGGCCGATGATGTAGATGCAACTACTTCAATTCCACATGCAGACGGTCAAGCCAGATAACCGCGTCAAGGAGCGGTCGCGGAGTCGTGTATCGCCGCGATGTCTCCTTCGTATTTGTGGTTCGGGGCATTTCGTCGTCACACGCTGCACGGTCTCTCCCGGACGATGACAGCCACGGCACACGACGACTGGAGAGCTTTTACGTTTTACGTTTTTTTGTTTCCGAGTCGTCTAACTGTGGCCTACCCATTGACACCGCTGGGCGGGAAGGGGCAGAGGGGGAAGACATCGACCGAAACTTGACCAATGCGTCGACTGCCTCGGCGGGGAGAGGTCTCATCGGCGACCTCGCGATCGAAAGTGCCGTGGTGGCAACCGACGCCGTTTAAAAACGGCTTTCAGACGCGCGCTGTAAAATCGTTGAGACACACTTTGCAAAACGTCCCTGCGCTTTCTCAAACACGCACGCAACAACAAACCGCCACGACGCTTGTGCCAGGCTACGTGCACCATGAGGCTACCACGTGAAGTGTCGAAATACGCACGCGTGCGCGCGCACACACGGCCGTTTGGATAAACATCCGCTGAGCTTGTATTTTTTTTTAAACCCTGGGCAACGTTTAAATCCTTACACGTGCGTCTCAGAAGCACTTTAATTCAGTGCGTGGCCGTAGCAAGTGATGCACAATTAAACGTGACGAATGACAGGAAGGCCGGCCTACCTCCTTGTAATGGGTTGTCCTTTGGCTCAAATCAGCTCCCGTCGGTCTGCATGGAAGGCAGCGTAATTTCCTTCTCTCTGCAAATAATAAGAGATAAAAAATCACGTACACGGATGGATTATGTAACATTTTCCATTAAGGCGTTTGCCCTCTAAATTGTACAATAGTTAGTTCTGGAAGTCGATGGGTAGAGGTCAGGGCAAAACGTGTATGAATATTTGGAAATACTGAAGTTCGTTTTGCCCTGTTTGATGCCTACCAAGTTTAATGATTTTGGCTGGTTTTCTCAAGAACAAGTCCCGAATAGCAACGCAACTTTACACTGAAGTTGTGTTCATGTTGGATAATATTTTTCCCGAGGCTGATTATGACCTCATCTTACAGACAGACGGACAGACAGAGATAATGCGTGAAAGCTTTCAAGCTTAGTCAGAAAGCGTTAATAAAATATGTTAAGTGAATTCACAAATAGAGCAGTACAATGGAAAGCATGTTTATTTATTAACGATAGGCGAGGCAAGGCTGAGTGAAGACGATAAATAGCAACTCAGTCAGGCAGCCCGGCAAGACAAACTCGCTGTCCTTCAGAAGGGAACATTAATTAGTTAATTCATTAGCATCCTTTATTAACGGCGAAGCGAAAATCCCAATTTAAACCGTATGGGTTTCCCCCCCCCCCGCCCAGCCAAACGTGGCGTGAACGAGCAAGCAGATCTACAGCCCATGATCAATCCCCTGCTCGGTTGTCGACTTCCCACAATCCAGTGCTGTTCGCGGGGGGCGGGGGGGGGCAGGCTATTTGGCCATACTTCACCGCGCCGAGACAAACGAAAGCGAGGCGTGGAAATGAAGCATCAAAAGCATCAAAAACAAAACGCGATCGGGAGCAATGCAACCCGGACGGACGAATTCAAACTAAAGCGAACAGCGCGTAAACCTTCGCTGCCGCTCAAAGCACATCGCAGGCAATGGGCTCGCCAACGATTTTGGGTTGAAAAAATTCGTCAAACTCCCAAGAAGGCTCGAGGTACGAATTCCCATTTCAAAAACAAAACATTCCCCATACAGCTATAAAGGAGTGCTGCTTGCAAGCGTACATCAAACATTGGCAGACTTACAATAAGGAGTGCGACCCGTACAAATACGAATGGCCACCTTTGTCTCTCCAGTATCTGTGTCTCCCCGGCGGCGCTGAAAAGACCTACGGATGGCCCATGGCAGGCCCATGCGCTCAGATATATAAACCGTGTGCATGACAATGATTTTTGAACCTGGGTCAGTGGAATTGCGTGCTCGGGGTTTAACCACCGGTCGTGTCTGCTGCCAAGCTCCCAGTCAACGCACCCAAGATGTTGCTGTCAGAGCACAGGCTCCGTGAAGAAGGTAAAAGGTACAGGAGCAGCCCTGCAATGTCTCAATCACTGCACTGCTGGCTGAACGGCATCTACTGGGAGGTAGGAGTAACCGCGCTTTACCCCGCCACGCTTGACCCGCGCATCACTCCCTATCGAACTTAATACTCTAAACGCTTCCGCAAAATGTTGATTAAAAAGCCATAAATATGGTGAACTTGTGATCCGCACGCGTATGTACGTTGAACTTCTTTCGCGCCGTACATAGCCAACCACGCTAATAGGAGTTGCGAGGTACGAGGTATTATTGTGCTCTTCCTGTCGTAAGGAGCTGTGCGAAGGGAATTAAAATCGTACGTGCTTTTTTTTGTGAAGAAAAACAAATCCTAGCATCTGAAACAGTTTCGCAGATCACCTTCAAGGGTTGCCCGAAACTCGGAGCTGCGAACCTGAGTAAAAGGGCTACTTGCAAATATTCAAAATATTTTTTTTTTACGTTAGGAGCTGCTCATTGGCTTTCAGAGCACTAAAATTAAAACACATCTGGAGATAGAGGCACGTTGGAGAGTGTCACGCAATGCGTCCGTAAGCACGATTTTTCCCCAACTAATTTCACGAATCAATCGCGCACATTTCCTTCCACGCAAGGAAAGCGTAAAAGCTTGCTCACGGTGCAGTAATTATTTAGATATCTTGGACACGTATATAAAGCTCATTTGCAAATCCACTTGCTTAGATGATGGCTTACCCACACGGATATGATGAGCAGCGATATACAGCAATCAAACCTCTACAAACCGCAAGCCTCTACAAACATGCAAAAATAGAATGCAACCTTTTGCAGAATCTGTGCTAAAATTCCACTACCTGAGCATAATACATACTCCATTATTAATACCGGGTCTGGCGCATTTCAGAAATTGAATCAACGACCGCAGCAGCTGACACTGCTTCTCAAAAGCATCCCGTGCAGCGCCGATCTATAAGAATAATTTCCATCGTGTCTGACCTATGACTAATTTGTGTGTGTGTGTGTGTAAAAATAAAAGTTGTATCGCATTCCATGCGGTAGAAATTAAATTCACCCTCGTCATCAACAGCAGCCAACGATTCATCCACTGCTGCAGGAAGGCCGCACACACGATGCTATATGATCCATCTCTCTCCTTGCACCCGGGCTAATTTCATCGCTCCACATCCACAGCGGTCATCCTCTCTGGCAATGTCCTCCGTCGCCTGCCGTTCCGTCACCAGTCTCTTCCAATCGGCCACCGCGTGCCTTCTAGCGACGTGTCCTCATGCGCAAACCCACTTTTTTTTCTTAACGGTCAACGTGATCCATAATACAGGTTTTTTTTGGCGTTAGATCACGTAAACATATAAATGTGTAGTTAAACCCGCCACCACCCGACACAGCCAATAAGGCGACAGACAGTTTTGTCGCCTGATGAAGCTAGTTGTTAATTACTGGCGAAACGTCGTCCTCGGATTGTAAATGGTGTGGCTTTGCTCTCCAACACACCGGTGTGCTGTACTAGTAATGAATTGGCACGTTCTGTTTACGTGACAAACATTACTAATTGGTTGTGTCGGGTGGTGGAGGGTTTGACGACATTTATATTTACGCAATCTAGCCCAAAAAACCTGCATTATGGATGATGTTAGTCGCGAAAACGTACGTGTTAAACTGGTCAACGTGATGTTTCTAATTCGTATTTCCCCCCCAGGATCCGCACGCTCCTTTTTCTGTGTGTCAGTGTTAATTCCCAGCATGCATCTCTCCACGCTTCTTTGGAACAAAGGCTGAAAATTGCAGTTTCCACTCCAAATATCATTGCAGTTAATCTGCACGGATAGAATAAGTTCTCTTTATGCGCACTGGTGAGTTTCTATTACGAAATTCAATTTTGCAAAAGCACTCCAACCATGCTTTCGCTTACCTCTTTATTTAATAATAATAAAAAGTATCCCAGCCAGCCTTTAATAACTGCGCTGCATCATTCATCTTCTGTTGTATTTTCCAATTGTGTCCCTCCAACAAATATGTTCCTCTGTTCATTTTACAGCACAAGGGTTGTGCGTTACAAAACATCGATTGAAGAAAGAGAGAATCACAAAGGTAGATGGAGAATGTCGTAACCACCGACGATTTACTAATGGAAATGACCTACCGGAAATTACTGAATATCTTAACAAGGACAACTAGGCTAAAGATACACATTAGCAAACAATATATGAAAAACAAGCTCGATTAAGAGTTAAACAAAAAAATTTGGTCGGAAGCGCGCAACTTAAGTGTGAATAACGGCAAAACATATGCAGGTGGTTATGTATGATAATTCCCCGGCTGATGCGAGGTGGCGATCGGGAGAAGAGGCATTTCACTCCACCTCGGTCGATCTGTGCCAGTTCCTGGTTCTCCTCCTCAGAGTCCGAGTCTCCGCTGCACAATCGCGTCACCTGGGGGGGGGGGGGGGGGGGGTGGGGGAACCAAAAACATTGGCATGAGAGTTCAGGGTGAAGCAGGCTGAGATGTGACGACGTGAACACGAGGGAGCTCTCCATGACGTGCGGCAAGGCTGGCTGAAGCTAAAACAGGGAGTCTTGAGTGTTCGCTGCACAAATCGGGGTCGCCTGTAACAATCCGCCGAGCGGTGTGAGAGCGCTTAGGCGGGGTGCGGTGAAGGAAAATCTACATTGGGGTATCAAGGGGGACAGATGGCCCAGATAACACTAAGGCACGGATAATGAACAGCGTATGTGTAATTGATTACGACAATGTATGTTATCGAGGACACATTGTTTGTTGTTGTTCTTCCTCCGCACATCCGATCATCACGGTTGTTTACGTATGGTGCAAACGTAGTTTTTTTTTTTTAAAAAAAACCTCACCTAGAATCGGAAGCCCTTCCGCCAGCAGTGGCGTGGGCAAGCAATTGCAGGGCTGCGCCTTTACCTCAACGTGCTCATTACACCCCAAACCGTGCCTGAGAAATGTCACCACCGCCCTGTCACGAGCAAAGACGCCGCCTTCGCTGCCTCTCAACGCTTCCGAGCAAACACAACAAACGGTTTCCGAAGCGTACACGTGTATAACGCTACTGCCGTGCAATCGCCTCGTGGCCTGCCCTCCTCTACGATTCTCTACCTCTCTTCTTGGCAAACCTCGTGGTCCAATTCCGATTTGCCCAAACACGCGTATGACATCTTGGCTGGAGGACCGAAGCAATCCATTCAAATGTAATGCTTCCCCAAGCACTCTTGTGCACAGTTATAACCGCCACGCTTTCAGTGAATGGCCATAACTGTTTACGGTTGTGTTGACAATTATCCCATCCACATGATCTCACGTCAACCGATCGCAGAGCTAAGGAAACACACGCATAGGTGGATGTATGGCAAAATGTCAAACTTATAATTGCTGTATAAAGAGGTGCATTTAGAACAGGGGTGGGTAAACATATCATTACGGAGGGCCGAATGGGACTTTCTAGTACCTTTGGCAGTAGGCCACACATTAACACACACACACAGAGATCCCAGTCACTTCTGTAACTGTTAGAGGCCATTGCACTGAAGTGACCGAAGTGACGGATCACGCTCCAACCAAGCAAAACGCCGTGTTGTTACGAGGTCGATAACATTGCCCTCCAGTACCCGATTAGTACAGCTAAGATGCTCGCAGTGCGCGCCTCCGATTAGCGCGGACCTCGTTTCGAACTTCCCCACCCTTGGATTCGAGCGCCAACACAGAGGAACAATCAGGACACGAAGTAACGCTTCTAACATTCGGGATTGTGTCGAGTCAGTGCCCATGTATTTGTGTTGCGGAACAAGGAAGGCGTCCTGCGGGTCATTCATGGAACTGTCCCGTTGTTTTATTAAGACAAATGAAGCAAGAGAAATAACTCCCCCGAGGCATCGCACGACGAATAATTTATGAAGATTAAGGAGTTATTGTCACGTTAAGGAGGCTGGATTGAATGAGACATCTCGATGGTGTCACAGTGAAAGTTATTAAACATTCTCTCGCCGCACATTTCGGGGCACTGTGGATTAGCTGTGGTCGTGTTATCTGAGAGGCTCTGGGGTTATTCATTGCCATTTGGTAGCTGGGTACAGAGAGCTGATGATCTCTAACGAAGGTCAAAAAATCAACCAATCTGATTCTTGCGCTCACAATATCGAATAGCCCATGTAAGAATTCATCGTGTACAACTCATACACATGATAGGTAGATTTTTCATGATGGCCAAGTAAACAAAACTGTACAAAAGTGATGGGGAAAAAAAAAACATCTAAACGAGGTGATAATAACGAGGCAAAGAGGAAACAAGTCGTGATTCCAAGTTGCGACAATTTTCTTTTATATATAATATCACAATATAAGAAAAATTCACGAAGGTAAAATTACCGCGATATCAGTATCCCGTTGCTTCTGTAATTACACTTCACATTTGTATTGTTTAGTTGTTGTGCTTTGCTGTACTTCTAAACTAAAAACTAAGCTTACTATTTTATTCTACCAGGTAAGGTCCACTGAGCTATATAGCTCTTTTTCAGAAGCGACCCTGCTACAAATGATAGCTCAACGAAGTGGCTTATATCAGCCAAATACGCATGCTTCTAAATATGGAAGGGGGAAACCGGAGGACCCGGAGAAAAATCAATGCGACCGCGGGGAGAGAGAGAGACACCGCAAACTCCAAATACACAGCAGCAGGCGTCAGGGTCAGGATCGAACCCACGACCTCCTGTACACTTGGCGAAGTAGTTAACATCTCCTAGCCACCGTGATGATGATGAGAGAGAGAGAGAGAGACACGCAAACTCCAAATACACAGCAGCAGGCGTCGGGGTCGGGATCTAACCCACGATCCTCCTGTAATCCAGGCGAGGTAGTTAACATCTCGCCGCCGTAGTGACCTTCATCGCTTCAGTGAACAAGAGAAGTCGTGTTTACTCAAGTAATGGAGGTTACTTTTAAAAGTTTTCCAACCGCAGTTCTCTCCGCATAAGTGTCCCACGTGGTCTCTCTATAATCGTTGCAACGTTACGATCTAAAGCGCTCACGTCGCACACATGCCGTCCGAACGGCATGGCGCCGCGTTAGCCGCCACGCCATCAGTCACTCGGGAAAAAAAAACGTTCAGCAGAGCACGAGTTTATCCCCATCTGTTCGGAACGTTAATTGCCGTTGATATTTCAAAAAGATATTCACTGTACGGTGGATTTTGCGCAAATTCATTAATTTGCATCGGAAATAGTGAGCCAAGGGAATGAAACCGAAAGCCACATTTTTTTATATATATATTGCGAAAAAAAAATTCGCGACGATCGTTACCACGAGACGGGAATTGCGCGAAATGAGCGCCGCGTTTGCAGCGGAACGTCGAGCGAGCGGGACCTCTCGGAATCGGCAAATCTCGGCGGCCCGAGACTGTCGACCGGCCATACGACACCTCTCTCCAAGATCCATTCCCTCTGAGAATCAAGGCCGTGGGTTTTTTTTTTATCTTCCACCGAGCGAACGTTAATATTTCAGTGGAAACCGTTGTTTGCACTCCGTGAGTGTCCGCTGCATTCGCGCGATGGCGAGTGCCCCTGCCTGCCGCACGACATTTGCATAGATTTGACGCTTGAATTAACCGCTGTCACTCGGTAATGCTGCCGGGCATTGCCAATGCGGGCCAACTGTCATATTGCAGAAGTTAAACACCCTGTGACATTGAATGGTCCCAATTGACAGGTGTGTAAAAAAAAAAACCCCACACATCCATAAATAATAAACTAAAATGGGTTCATCATCGGTAGTTGATAGGTAGGTGGTGGGGTAAAGTGTGGGTACTCTCGTGACTTCCGACGTGTGTGGCCAGCATGGAAGAGAAGGCCAAATGCCCTCTAAAGGATATAAAGGGTGTTTAGAGGATATAAAGAGTGTTTAGAGGGGCTCCCCGTAAGATTATTGCGACTCTTGTATGGGCACGGCCCTTTTGTAAATCCGCTGCTGAATGAGGCTATCTCTACGCCGAGCAGGTCGTGGGAGTTATTTGAGCATATTTCACCATGCTGGTCAATGTAGATTTGACCATAAATTGCAGGAGTGTCCCCTAATAGCCAGTGAACTTGCATAACCTCCCAGGATGATGTAAGCCGAGTTTCAGGAGCGGTGCGTTTTAACGGTCTTGACACCGCAACCACCACCACCACCACCAATAACTGCACTCAAAATTAAATCAAAATTGGTTTCGCTCATGCATACTATGTTTGAGCAGACCGCTGAGAGAAATGAAAATTGCTCTCTTCTACAGCGCGTGGCAGGAGATAATGCAGTTCTACGGATCGTACGATAAGTGCTCGAATGATGTTCGGTTATCGTGAACACAAACACTGGAACGATCTACTCAAGGACGCAACGGCTTCTCCGCTGCGTCTTCGGGCTGTTCGGGCGAGATGATCTCACGTCGGGAGCTTCTTCAGGAACTGAATTGAACAGCTCACCCTCTCGGCTTTACAGATCCATCGATAATGATTATCATCATCATTGTACGGATTCCTCAATGAAAGAAGGGGACGTGCAAGGCAACGTACGAGGCAAGGGCTGGAGAACCCTCAGGCCCACGGGCTGTGAGCCGTCACGCGCTCATTCCTTTCAAGACTGCCCCCGTATGTACGTACGCATCTTGATCTTCTTTCGCACCGTACGTAGCTAACCGTGCTAATTAGTGGAGGTGGCCACGTGAGGCCTACCGCTTCGCACCGGCCTGCAGACGATCTTTATCCGTAGCTACAAGCATTTTCGCTGCACTAATCGAGTTTCAAGTTGACTTCCTATGACCAGATGGGAATTCAAGTGACCAGGGATAGGAGCCTCATTTGCAAGAGTTAATTGGAGGGGGGGGGGGGTCATCGAAATGACCAAAGCCATATAAATAAAATAAATCAGAACAAAAATAAAACAAAAACTGCTATCACATGACGAATTGAAAAAACTGCAAACAATAATTCCCTGCAGCACAAATCGGCTCTGGAAGATTTCCTCCGGATTGCACGCAGCGCAAATTACAAAATCAAGCAACAGAATCATTAACAATCAACAGTAATAGGGTGACTAGACCACCAACATGTATTATCTGGGACCGTCGGGGTATACAGCCAGTAAGTAGTTCGAACCTAGCACCACTGCGTTTCTGATATTAACGAGCAAGCCACCCGCTTCAAATATTTCCGAGCGCACAGTCAAAAGTTTCGCGTCAATTCCCGTGCTGCTCGCCGAAATGGCATCTTCATACAAACGAGGAAGCGATAGGTTCCCAACTCCGAGCGTAAGGCTCGCGTACAACCCACCTACACTGGCCGTCGAGTGCGACGCGCACGCGTGGACACACTCTGATTATAATGCAAGACGAAGGTGGATGAGTATTGTAGCACGGACGAACGCTGCAGATGGATTTGGCGCA